TGCTCTTCAGCTCATTATGCAGGGTTCACAGGCGGCAACTTCGTCACTGCGCCACGAAATTAGTTTAGCCGCGGCAGCGAGCCTGAGCGAGCCTCTCCCTCGCAAGTGTATGCGTATCTTGTTGGGAGGGGCGCAGCGACTGAGCCCAACCTCCGAGTTGAAGATACGTCTGTTGTCATATTTCGGAGAGGTTGGCCTGTCGGAGCTGTTCAACCTGTACACTAGGGCGTCGTCCGTGCCAAGAGAGACTCAGCTATGTTTGGTTCGATCGATCCCAAGCTTACCCATGGATGCTATGGATGCGCCTATGATATCGGCCATCATCTGTCTGGCCGAGGCTGCTGCCGGTAATGAGGAGATGTGCGCTGCCTTCCTCTCCGCAATGGTGACGATGCTCACCAAATGGAGGGGAGTTCTTCCGAGGACTCCAACGACTGCGAGAAGTTGTGTGGAGAAATTGTGGAATCTCTGGTGAAGGAAGTGCCGAGGCTTTTCGTTCATCCAAGGCTCTGGCCATGCTGCAGCAGCCTACTGGAAGGCAATATATCCGATATCGGGATCGAGGAGGTGAAGAAACTGAATCCACTTCTGACTTCTCGAATAGCGAAATTCCAGCCAGCTGTTCGGAAGGAGCTGCTGCTGTTGGGAGACTGTAGTGACGCTACATACAGGGCGGGGAATCTATTGAAGATAGCTGACAACTTTGTGTCTATCGGTAGCGGTAGCGTGCAGGGTAGTCGTAGGAGCATCCTCGGCCTAGCTGAAAGGTTCAAGGATAAGGAGGATGATGATACTGGGCGGAAGATATGCCGACGTTTAGCTGCAGCCATTGGCCTTTCAATGGCGGCGTCGAGAGAGCTTCGACTCGCCGCGACCTCATTCGACGTCACTGAGAGGATTGATGATATCTTACCGGTTTGTCTGGCGAGGGAATGGCGTCCAGTCTCCTGTGCTTTAATAGACAATATCGATCAAACGATCGATTATGTTGGCAAGCGTTTGATATGTGAAGATATATTCCCAGCGTGTGATGACCCCAACATCCATCAGCTTGTTGAGGGGATGTTTTCTACCAATTACTGCGTTTCTTACCCCACCGCCTCGAGTTACTCAATTATCATCCATTCGCCCGCCAAGCTCCCGTTGTTGCTGCTGCTAGGGACGACCGTATTCCACGGGCACCGCTGTCGAAGTGTATCCTCGTACCCCCGTCTGTGATGTATCGTCCTACTGATCTGATTGGTAGTAGGGCTGACCTGGTTGAAGGGACGTGGCTAGCCTTGACTATCCGCCGGAGACGCACTCTAGGGTAGGTCCTAATGGAAGGTGTGCAGACGATGCGAAGAGAGTACGGGTGTGCTTCGAAACAGCCGCCACGTGATGGGCCTCGCAACGGCTCAGCGGAGTACATTGAGATCATAGCCGCAAATGAGTTGGCTGCTGATGGGCAAGGGAAGTGAGCCAGTAGCAGCAGGCCTACTGGGGTGTGGAATCGATGCCTCGAGGTCGTTGGCCAGGAGGACCTACCTGGATGAGCCTCTTCGATGTCTTACGGCCGCTATGAGGGCAACCTTAATTGACTGGATGATTGAAGTTCATGATACTATGGATAACACCAGTCGCCAAGAGTCCCTCTTCCTCGCTGTAGGAAGAACTACTGCAGCTGCGGTGTTGGCGACTGTTGATGTCTTAGGTTGATATAGTGGATCGTTATTTAGCTGCCGTGCCGGGCACCAGGAGCCGCGACCTTCAGCTAGTCGGCTGTGCAGCGCTGCTGATTGCTATGAAGTGGGTTTTCATCACAATGAGCCTGCTGGAGTTTACACGAATAGGTTCGAGGACATCAATCATCCAGACTTGCGAGGGATGGTATCAACTTGTGGTCACGGCACGTACTCGGCGGCAGAGCTCGCTCAAATGGAGGTTAACATTCTCAATACTATTGGGTACACACAGAGAGGTGACATCCTACAAGCTGCCATAGTAGGTTCGAACTCAAACGTCCAACCGCTGTCTTTTTCCTTTCCTTCATGCTGAGGCACTTGGTCGGGGATGTCGAGTGGTGGCTCGGAATGTGGGCAAGGACAGCCTACTGTCTACTCCAGGATCCAACATCCAGGTATCTCCTCCATCTTGCCTTGCTAGACTCTCACTTTCTTGCTCGACCCTACACCCTTCTGGCGGCCGTTGTCGGGCGTGCTGTCGCCAACCTTCTGCCATCAGCTACCCTTCCCAGGTGACTCGCCTCGACTCAACGTGGCGCCATCTTTAGTGGATCAGGTTCTCCTGGAGTGGCTTCGAGCCCACCATCGTCGAGGCACTCTGTGAACATCTGTTGTCCCTTTATGAGCAAGCCCAGCGACGACCCAATGACCCCCTCTATGCCGCAGTGACTTCCAAGTTTTCGAAGATGGCTTTTGTGCGTGTGGCAAGTCATGTCCCAACGGGCTGATAGGGTCACTCGGTGAGGTCATTGCTGGCCGCCGCCATAGGAGATGAATTATTTCGTCTAATTTCGAGATGCCCAATTCTTTGGGGTCGATGAGCTTTTTTCCTTGCATGCTAGTCACCTTACGAACCTTTCTCGTCGGAGCTCTGCACTTGGCAGCTGGTAATTCTCCCGCTTGCTCAGCAGAACTCACTTGAATTCATGACAATACTGTTCAAATTTGTTATGCCACATGCCCTCCCATGATGGTGGTCGCCATAACATTTCACAGTGTTGGGTTCGAGCATCCAAGCCGAAGTAGTCAAGCTGACCTGACGCTCTTATGAGCGCCTCATCACAGCACTCATGTGATGCAAATCGTACGATTGGGTGACCGTTTTGAGGTTGCCTCAGGTGATGGTCGGATGAGTCGCTGTAATCATTGGATTTGTGGTATTCCCTCTCCTGAAGCACGTTCCATCTTCAGGCAGGGAACCTCTGCCCGGGAGCCCGTGCAACACCATTTGTCGACTCCAAGCCTTGCGGTCGTGCGCACAGAATTATGCCGGAGGATTCATGCCGGGCGCGCCACATCGCTGTCTTAAGTATAGGGAACGAGGTGCTACGACAAGACGGCCAGATTTACCACCGCGGGACGGGTATACAACAGCGTGCTGTGTAGAAATGAACCCAGGAACGCAACCAGTGGTAGGATAGAAGAGGTACAAGAGTAACCGTTCCACTAACTCGTAAAACTTTGTATAACTTATGATTAATATAAACCGTTTCATACCTAGCGCATATAGCGTGACACAAACTAAGATATTGACACAATAAAAGTGCACGCGAGCGCAAATATTTACTACAATCAAATCATCACGTACTCTCGGAAGGGACAGCGTAACACAAACGATCGATCACATCGACAGAATTCCGGAACAGCTAAGAAGAAAACTTCGGATCTCGTCACAGTGCCGCTTACCTCTGCCGCGATGTTCTTTTTCTCTTTGCACCCTTGTCCCCGTGTTGATGCACTTGTTGTCTCTAGTCGGCAACAGGCAGGCTGCCTGCTGTGAGGCTCACACTTCCTCGTGCCTGCCGCAGGCACGATCTGTGGTCTTTATAATCCTGACCGAGGCCTGGCTCAACCCCCGAGATAATCGAGGTCCTCCGTGGCGGGATGGGAAGAGGTTTGAAACACTACGAAGGACACGAGACATCGAAGACAGCGTACATACGCTTCACCATAGATCATGCTGCGCATCTAAGAGTCATTTCACCCGAGAGCACGCAAGCAGTGGGACACCTCTCCTCGGGCTGAGTCAAACAGCACCGTTTATAGTACACGCAATCTAGAGAGATAGTTTCGTGTCACCGTGTAATCCAGGGAACGCATGCCAGGATATTGGAGAGGTTAATCTCAATTGATTATCCACAGTTAAATGGTAGATCACTTAAACCTAGCAGTAGAGAATATCACACTACATTGCGTGGCAACAGACAGCCGACACGACAACACAGCGGCACAACTTTTTATCTAGAGCTCATATGGACCTGGAATTTCAACTAAGAGCTCTCCTAACATTGTTATATCTTTGAAGCATGTCACGGATCAGATTATCGAATGAAAAAATTTTGGTTCGTTTTCAACCCGAAGGTGCTCATCGTCAATCGTGGAAGTATGATATAACCCATCTCACATCGTTCTGACATCGTGCTGTCGACGACAGGTCGCCGTCAAGGATGTCAGAGTTAGCGAGGGCTCGTCTATCTGGTATGCTGCGAGTCTACTCCTAGCATCAGTGGGGCCAAGAAGCCAGATAATTCCTAGGACAGCCTTGAGGACACCAGAAGGTGCACTCCGCCCAGCCGATGGCCACGCGCATGGCTCTTCTGCATGTTGCTTGAGCAGCAGCGATCCAGCAGGTTCGGACGACCACCGGAGGAGTTATATCCCAACTCATGCTGACAGTGAGTCAGCAACTGGCACGTAATGAGCTAATTGAGCTCAGGGCCTTAGCCTCAGGCAGCCAGGCTCCAGCAACCCCCGCCATATCAATGGATTGAATCTCTGTTGACCTGCTATGCACGCTCGCTTAACAACGAATAGACTCTATTAGAGTAGCAAATACTTAACAAATGGCCCTGATGGCTCGCCATCAACGGCAGTCTCCTCTGATTGAACCATTGCGCACGTCAGGCTTAGCGAGCCTAGCGCTGTAGAGGCAAATCAGTGGCTCCAAAATGGAACGACAGATAGGAGCAGATAAGTTCAAGACTCCTGGAGCCCGTTCAAGTGCAAAACGAAGTACCACTGTAAAGTACCACTGTGTGAAAACCATTCTGTTATCGCGTCTTCTGGTGCGCACGGCTTCTGGCGACAGTGGGCCAGTGACTGGCCCAATGCGTCCTACTCGGTGGACAGCCAGCAGCCCCGGCGTTCTAGCCACCGGTCCACAGCTCTACCCACACCTTCCAGAGCAGGCGACTAACAATAAGTGAATATGCTGTCTCGTGGTTACTGGCGACAAAAACCGAAGCGCCCGAGCCTCAGATGTACATTTGCTTCTGTGGCTGTGTGGTCTAGTGGTATGATTCTTGCTTCGGGTGCGAGAGGTCTCGAATTCGATTCCCGACTCAGCCCGCGTTAGGTCGTATTGCGGCTGAGCACAGCCAATATGGTAGACGGGATCTTCGGATCACGGAGCTCACCGGGTCCCCGGATAGAAATGACTGCTCAGCCTGCTGGAATGGTCTAGTTGGTTATGACGACGGCCTAGCACGCAGTAGGTCCCGAGTTCAACTCTCGGTTCCAGTATTGCACTATCTTTCACGTGTACTTCATCATGCGCCGAGTTGGAGTTGCTATCGCGTCTTCTGGTGCGCACAGTCTCTGGCGACAGACACCGAAGCACCCAAATCTCATTTATGAGTTGTCCTTTACGGCTGTGTTGTCTAGTGGTATGATTCTTACTTCGGGTGTGAGAGGTTTCGTGTTCGATTCTCGACTTAACCCAGGGTTACTCGACATACAGTCGGGCGCACCCAAATGCAGCAAGTGAATATGTTGTCTCGACTTCAGGTCTACGCGATTCCTGGCGACAAGAACCGAAGCGCCCGAGCCTCAGTTATATGTTCGCTTCTGTGGCTGTGTGGTCTAGTGGTATGATTCTCGCTTTGGGTGCGAGAGGGCTGTGCGGTATTGTGCACAAATCGCGCCGAAGGCGCGAAAAAAATCTTTTAAAACAAATTTATAAATAATTCAACTCTGCTATTCCCTTATCATAAGTGATTAAAATAGTCTGCATTGGGGGCTTCTCAACATTATTAAATTCTTTGTATGAGCGTTTCTATGATCTGCATACAGGGGGCGAGAAGAGCTTAGCCATCATCACACGTATGGCAGTGCAGCGGATGGAAGTTAAAAGATGAAGCCAAGAAGACGGATAGGAGCTTCGGCTTACTCCTGTCCGGAATGCAAGGCTCGCATAGTGACTTCCAAACCATGATAATGGAGCAAATGTGTGTTATGGTTCGCCAACCGTTCATGACATGTTCTTGTTCCGGCGAGTGAGGAAGCTACTGGAAAGTCTCGTTAGAGCCATTTGTCTGGCTAGAGACACTTGCACAAACAAAAGACTTCCCGCGGGGATGAACATGGTTATCACGGATTACGACACGAAGAACCTTGCTCAACCCGACCCCTCTTGTTTCGCCTTCAGCCACGTGTCAAAATCTCCGTCAGCGATGGGACAATACCAACTCCCTGACACTCCGTTGATTCGAGGTTTTCTATGTCCAGTGGTAGCTGTGCGTTCTTGCATGCAAGACATACAGCGCACCCTCTTAGCTTGGGCTTGTATGCCCTCACTATCAGCATCCTCAACTTGATCCCTCTCCGACCCCCCCGGATGGGCAGTTGCTCCTTGTCGTGTAACGTTGATGCTTTCGTTCGCCTCCGTAGTCGGAATGGATTCTTGAGACTTAGTAAGATCGTTGGCAGACTGGGCGCCTCGATTCCTCTTGCCCGTACGCTGCGTAGCCTTGATACGGAGAAATTCTTGCATCTGCCGCGTTGCTAACCACTCGTCGTAGTCGCCATCGAGATTGGGACAATACCAGGGTCCTGGAACTGATCTACCTTGGTACACGATATTTGGCCTGCGGTGGTTACCTGACAAGCGCTTTGTAAACACTAGTAGTAGTCCAACACTTCTTCCGGGTTTTCACCTGTCCGAACCTTGTGGCATCTACCACACTTGATACCGGTGCACTGGGCACTGCTTGTTGCAGGTGTAGTTGGTTGTACAACTGGAGGTTTGGGAACTTCCGTCGGTTGAGGTATGAGCCTACGAGTGCTGGCGGGTATTGCCGGAGTAGAGGCTTGAGCGCCAGAGGACAAGACTGCCGCCATCTTCGTCCTGCGGGCGGCGGTCACTACGTCAGGGCATAGGGATGTCGCTCCTGCCAGCTCCATCTTTCGTCGGATTATGTATTTCTCTATATGATAGCGCGAAGTATCGAAAATCGGTGCATCAGGATTCTCCGATTTCTGGGCCAGGAACCAGGTGAAGTATGCCTTGTGGATATCGTCCAGGTTCGCCTCGCCTATTTCCGTTGCCAGCTCATCTATCTTCTGCCTCATAAGTGGCGTGTAATTATCCGGACGAGTCTTCTGCAAGAAACTGGAGTTGGCGCCGAACATCTTGAGCTTCGATATCCGCCGCGCCGAGCCAGCGGCAGGTTTCTGAGTGCCAGTGCCGTCTTGCTGCACGCGGGTCGATGCATGCTCATTATCCAATATTTCCACCACCCGGTCGATCGACCATGCCATAGCCTCGGCTTCGTACTTCCCTAGCTCCGCATCATCGCTCTCTGCTACAGTTTCCGCTGGACTGGATCGCTGAATATCCTCAAGCTCGGCCTCCAGCATTTCCTTGCGCAATGCCAGTGTATACTCGAGACCAAAGCTTTCACCTGAAGGCTCAAGGGTTTAGAGTCTAAACTTCAGACAGAGAACAACATCAATGATATTGTATCATTGATGCCTAGGTGGAAAGCTTACCTGTGTCATGACGAGATGTGGGTACATGTTATCACCACTAGCTCTCAAACGAATGAGCAGGTTGTTATCAAGCAAAGGGTACACTTGAGTGATGCCATCTCTCTTGCGGCGTACGTTCCGATTGTATCGCGTCAACCCGTCAATAACAAGGGCTTGGCTTGCAACAGACCCCACATTGGTGCCACTCAGAAAGCTGGCTTGGAGTCCGTGGATGCCTTCCAGTTGACTCGACCCTCTGTAACACCGGTACGCCATAAGTGGGCAGTTCTTATTTCCTTGGAAAGAGACGTGTCCGAGTTCTTCGTAGAGCGAGATACCCGGAGGATCACTCACACACCCTCGCTTAATGTGATAGACCTGAACAAGGGCGATGATCCCCAACATCATCTAATACTGCCACGGAGTTTCTCATAAGCTATGGAGTATGCGGTGCTATGAACCTCACCTGATTCGCCAAGCATCGATCGAAACCCTCTGGCCCCGGCGGCAGCAACAACTCCCCATCCCAGGAAATATTTCGCGCGCTCTCCACGACCGCCAGAACGCGCTCTTCAAGCTCTTCTGGCTGGAGAATCTGTCGCCGCACGAAGCGATACAACCACGACGGCGATCGCCTCAACCTCCTGGCTGCCTCGGCAGGATCGTCCAAACCGAAACTGACCATGATAGCTTCAAGTAGCATCCGCAGGTCGTTTTCATTGGTCTTGAAAAACGCCTGAGATTGAGGCAGTACCCGGGGCGATTGGCCTCATCTGCCTATACCTGTGAGAGCTCCCTCATGAAGTTGGCATGGCCGGGATGAGTAGTGCGGACGCACGCTTTGGAGAACCTCCAAAGCATATGAAACACATCGAGGCGAACGGTCAAGGATGGAAATGCCTGAGCAATCTCATACTGGGGAGCAAAAAGGGTATGGAATTACCTGTGTGACCATCTGCTTAGTACTAGTACAACAGTTTTTATCCACATACAATAGGCGTGGATAGGGCAGTTGCAGAGAGTCGTAACGAGCCTTCAAGCCGGCATAGAGCTTCTGGACGTGACTGTCGGAATCCGTTTCAGTGAATGCGTGAGATGACCTCCCCGTATTCATTCACGACAGAGTAGCTCCATTTTATGCCAGCGTCGCTTTCGACTCGATCTGCAAGCGGCCTAGTATGGTCCGCCCTCCAGATACTCCCAGAGAGGCTGCGCATCTCCTGCGCAAGTCCCGGCTGGCGTTCGATGAAGTCTTGGACGTATACAGCCATTATGTACTCCCTGGAGCGGTCAGACTCCTTGACGTTCCAGCCGTGTGAGTCACCCCGCTCCCCCATATCCCCAAACTCTGGCAATCCGCCGTCCGGGATACGCACAGTACTGAAGTGCGGCAGCCGTCCACCCTCGGAGGCGGAACGCCACTCCTGGCAGTGCAAATTTTATTGGGCGCGACGACACAGATAGTGCGACTGCTGGCACTCTGTGAGCACAGTCGCGAACGCAGCCGCCCCGCTGCTCACCGCAAGACTGCGTATCTCAGAGAGAAGCTCGGAGCTCACTGCCTTCCTGTATGTCAGGAAAGCGGGAATGACCGAAACAAGGTCTCGTGGTAGCTTGCCAAGGAAGTTCGGGTGTAATGCGCTGAAGCGCAAATGCTCCTTTTTCTTCTCATGAATGGTATGTGAGAGTACGTCGTCTGCATCGCCATGCCCAGCCTTGCACTGACAACATCGGAACCTCTCGGCCATGATATAGAAGATGCCATTCCGTGAGACGACTTTGCGAGGGCCAAGGGGAGGCAAGCCGGCCCGGCGTACCGTATGTGTAGAGTCATTGATACATGGGAGCGCACAGCTAGGGTCCTCTGGGCTCCTCAGTCTAGCCCATACGCTATTTTGAGGACGCCAGAAGTAAAACGGCCAGAGCTGATACTTCCTAACATTGGGGGTGATGTCCAGTGAAGGGTCAGGAGGGTAAAACCAGCCTCCAGGGTGGTCGCTTGGTAAGTCCTCAATTACTGCTCTCATCCACGCTTCCTGGGCCCCACTTGTGCTTGCCCATCTCTCACCCCGCAGTGGGAAACCAGGCAGAGACGGGTCGTCTAGCGCTGCCCACAGAGCTCGGGAGAGCGCGGTCTTCCCTCTTGCACATTTCGACGCTGAGGTGGGCGGGCGATTTGCTTGCTGTATTTGATTTTGTACTCCGCGGCTCGCATCGAGTGCCTCGCAACCTCGCTCTTCTCGCAACCTTGACGTTTCATTCGCAGCCACGGATTCTCTACGCTTCCTTGTTTCTTCGATATCATTCGCTGCCGACGACCCATCCGCCGCGGCCTGTGGCTCGAGATACTGTTCGAGATCTTCCAGCAAGGACTGACGGACTGATTTCTCCCGAACTCCTAGGCGGTCCAACTCAGACTCAGGGTTTGACGAGCGTATAACGCGATACTGGGCCCATCTCAGGAATTTTCGTTGGGATTTCGTAAGAGGGCCGTGCTGCGCATCTATCCTTCTTCGGAAGAAGGAATGGGAAGAAGTTCTTCCCATGAATATGAAGAAAGCCCCGACCTTGCGTGGGAACTCAGCGTAGAACTGTTCGTACGTTAACTCCGCTTCTCTTCCAAACCCCAACACCCACTTATCGCACCGTCTGTAGTCCCAAGCATCCAGGCTGCGACTGGCAGTATTGTCAACGTGAACAACCGGGGGATCCGGGGGAACTGTCTGGCTTGGTGTCGCTTGTTCAGCTCTGTTCAGCTCTGTTTTGTGATGCGC